CGCAATTCGAAAACAGTGCCATAAAACTTTAGAAATGAAAAAACAAAAAAACAAAAAAATGATTTCAGAAAAGAATAGATCAACTGAAATGAGCATAAAACAAGAAACTGTAGCACTTTGGAACATTTTGGGGACTTTTCCAACCATGACTCTGACACCTTCCGAAAACCCCCGTTTAATATTTAAACCCCCGTTAATTCCCAAACCCCGATAATTTTTTAAACCCCCGTTAAATCATAAACAGCCAAAGATATCAAAATTTGTCAATTGACAAGTGTTTATCATTATATCAACAATATTTTGTTAGTTCACCACTTGTTGATATCTTTCACAGGAACTGAAATAAGCTCAAAGTTAAAAGTTAGTGCTTGCCGGCTCAGCTAAGCGGCTGGCTGCCGACCTTATAACTTAGAGCTCATTTATCTCATTTTCTGTAGAAGATATAAAAAAGTAATCAACTGGCAAAATATTTTTGAAGTTTTGATAAACATGTTATCAGTAGGACACTTTTTGATATCTCTCACAGGAGTCGAAATAAATGAGCTCAAAGTGGGCGGTGCGCATTCTTGGGCCAGATGTACTTCCTATTTTAGATGTCCTAATCTTCATTTCTGATTCACAGAGTTTTCTTCTCTTAATACCCATTTCCCCTCAAACTCTCTATTTTTAGCCCAAAATGAACTTTCTTCTTGTTTTTTCATTCTTGATGAAAAAAAAAAACTATGAGAAAAAAACTTTGAGAGTCTCCCATTGGGAACTTCCGCTCTTCTCTGCTCAAATCGATTCCCATTTAATGAGATCTTTATTTTTCAGAGAAACAGAAAAGCTCTTTTTTAAACCAATTATTATTCTTTTGTGTGCTCTTTGAATGTCAGAAAATGGGGAGAGAAAAGGTTTCTCCTTTCTCAAATATCCAATGAATTTACAATGAGCTTCCAGAGCTTGGCTCTTTTCCCAGATTTTTTAGATTTTTTTCCGTTTCAAACACAACGAATTCTTTTGAAAAATAGCGTTTTTTTGGGTTCAGGATCTAGAAATTTCTAAAAATTCAGATTCTAGTGTTCTCTATCTGATCTGAATTTCTGAGCTTTTCAAAGATCTAAAGATCTGGAATTTTTTGGAAAAGGGGGAATCTTTGAATTTCTGAAAATTTCAGTTTTCAGAATCTTAAAACTTTCAGAATTTCCGGAAAATCGGAATTTCAAAATTTCCTATTCACAGAATTTCTGAATTTTAGAATTTCTCAGTTCCAAAATGTTCGAATTCAGAAATTCACAATTTCTGAATTTCTGAATTTCTGAGTTCCAAAATGTTCGAATTCGGAATTTCACGATTTCTGAATTTCTGAATTTCACGATTTCTGAATTTCTGAATTTCACGATTTCTGAATTTCTGAATTTCACGATTTCTGAATTTCTGAATTTCACGATTTCTGAATTTCTGAATTTCACGATTTCTGAATTTCTGAATTTCACGATTTCTGAATTTCTGAATTTCTGAATTTCTGAATTTCTGAATTTCTGAATTTCTGAATTTCTGAATTTCTGAATTTCTGAATTTCTGAATTTCTGAATTTCTGAATTTCTGAATTTCTGAATTTCTGAATTTCTGAATTTCTGAATTTCTGAATTTCTGAATTTCTGAATTTCTGAATTTCTGAATTTCTGGATTTCTGAATTTCTATCTGATCTTTCCATTTTCATTTGTTTTTTGGGGTCATCAGAAGCAGCAAAAAAGGAGATGTGCATCGTCATCAGAAGCAAAATGAAATTGAATAGAAAATGAAACTTTCTTTTTTCCTTCTTTGCTCCTCACGTCTTCTTCTTCTGCATCCAGATCTTCTCATCTGGAAAAGACATCTTCTCATTTCGCACGACGCTTCATATTTCTTCGGTTCTCGTTTTTTTATGAGAAGAAGAACTTATTTTCTAGTTTTATTAGTTTGTATAGATATATGTGAGAGAATTTTCAGTTGACTCAACCTTTTTTTCTAGAAGTTTCCTCTAGAGGCTGCTGGTGTAGTTTGATGTCATAAATGGAGTGTTTTCAAAAATTTTGCTCTATAATTTCATAAGAAGAATTCTCTTGAATTTTCTTGTCATTTTTCAAAAGATTTGGATTTTAGTTTACTGTAGTTTTTTAGAAATTTTAAAAGTATTTTTGGCTGCTGTAGATTTTTGAAAAATTTTGCATTTTAGGTTACTACATGTAGATGTTTAACGAGTTGTGCGTTATATATTAGTGTAGATGTTAAAAGAATGTTTGTATTTTAGGTAACTGTAGATTTAACATTTCTTTTGCGTTTTAGGTTACTGTAGGTTCAAAAACAAAATCACCTTTTCTATTACTTTAAATTTTCAAAAATATGTTTTTAAGGTTACTGTAGATATTTAAAGAAATTTAGTACTTTGGTTTACTGTAGGTTAAAAAGCACACATTTTAGGCTACTGTAGATTCGTCGAAAATTATTTGCAATTTAGGTTACTGTAGATTTTGCAAAAACTTTGACGAAATTCTGAAGCACCTCATAAAACATTAAGTGTCATTTTTTGCACTAGAATGACGGTCTTAAAATTTGTGTTTTAATTGAATGATTTCAATTTTAAAAAAATCTAGCTTCTGGGGTTTGGAAACATTGTCAAATTGTTCTAAAATCCGAATATTGAATACGAATACCGTAAAACCTGTAATAGAAGGTCCCGCACTTGAGCTCATTTATCTTCTTCATTCCTATGCTAGATATCAAAAATAGGTCAACTGATAAAACACTTCTGATATTATGATAAACAATTTATCAGTTGACAAATTCTTGATACCTTTTACAGGAATCGAGAAAAATTGGCTCAAATTAAAAATTCAGGGGACCTTTCAATTAGGAAAATTTATCAGTTTAAAATACACGTCTTCATCTCCCTTTAATCTTAAAGGTGGGGGGACATGAAAAAAATAATGTTCTCGAAATTCCGTTCAAAGATGCCCCCTCGAGGAGTTGAACTTGTGAGGGCGTTGATTGAGGTTGCGGCGCCGCTACCGACTGAGCCACGCGGGCAAAGAGAAAGCCGTTGCCCGATTGCATACATAAATGCGAGAACGACAGCTGTACGCAGAGTGACATTAAGCGTTGTACACCGTGACGGTAGAATGCATACTCTAGCTACAAAAAAACTACGAAAAATCTCCTGTCCCCCCACCTTTAAATGTCTCCACCCTAACACATCCGGTTTTGATCTTTCCCGAGCAAAACAATTTCGCAATACCAAATCTTCATTTTATTTTTCCGCTTGATGTCTCCCTTTTATTCCAGAGCTTAAACATCAGAAATTCCAGATGCGCAAAACTTCCAGACTCTTTTTCTCCAAAAAACTACAGTAATCTTTTATGAGAAACGATTTCCCTTGGGAACACACCCAACCAACTCCAATCTATCAAAAAATGCAACCCAAAAAAAACCCGGCTTTTGCTCTTTTTTTGCTCATATTCCAGTCAGTTCCACCACCATCTAAACTTTTGCTCTCTATTTTTCATCTCTTTTCCTTTTTTCTTCTTCGTCATCGCCGTTTTTTTTCTCACCTTCATATCCCATTTATCCTCGCTCTTCTTCTGATTAATCCCTCCATCGTCGGTCGGGGATGAAAACCGGATGTACATAAAGTTTTTTCTCGCTCCTCTTCATCCATCCACTCAAATCCGTGCTTTTTTCTAACTGCTCACATTTTTAATATCAGTTTTTATCAAACTTGTAACAGAAAGGCTCGATATTGGCCCGGTTTTATCAGTTCAATGTTTTCCTAAATTTCGACATTACAAACCTTGAATTTTTGGATTCCAGGTACTGACAATGCACGGTTCGAAGAGTGACTATGGATTTCGCAGGCCCACGTTTAGTTTTGGCAGACCGGTAAGAGAAATAGCTTAGCCGCATGGTAGCTTAACAAAAACCGTAATCCTGTAGCAATTGAAAAAAGTATAGTATTCATGAAAAGTCTTTTTTAAATAATTTCAAAATGCCAACTTATGTATAGATCAATTATAGAGTTGTAGCTATCACTTTCAGATTAAGTTTTCTGAGAGCTTCAAAATGAGCCAAAACTCTAGGTCAACTTTGAACTCAATTATTTCTGTTCTTTAAGAGATATCAAAAATGTGTCAATTGATAAAATGTTGATGATATCATGATGAGCAATTTATCAGCTGACCACTCTTTGATATCTTTTACAGGAACCGAGATAAATTGGCTCAAAGTTGGGGAACCCTTCTATTACCGGTTTTACGACAGACCAGATTGGATGAAATAACTTCCAAACAAAAGAAGTTTACGTTTATTTTATAAGTTCTTTACATTCCAACTTTGAGCTGAGTTATCGCTTGTCAAAGTTGCTTCATCTTATAAAAATCACAAAACATTACGCCGTTCATCTTTGAACAATCATAACAATACCTAGATTTGATTTTTTTTCTTTGAAAAAATTTAAAGATACCAGCCTATTTGCCGCGCCTCCGGCGCTTCAAACATGGCTGCTGCGCCTTCGGCGCGAAGTAACTTATTTCTTTTCATTTATTTATTAGAAGAATGATATCTTTTTTATCAGTCCGGGTGATTGTGGGCCTGTAGGCTTGAACATGATTTCTAATCAGCAAGCCTATTTTCAGACGGAATTTCTGGGAACAATTCGAGAGGAGACACGTGAGAACGCTCGTCTGATTGAAGACGGTGGAAATAGATGTAGTCCAAACAAGAAAATGACGAAATCCGGCGGCAAGATTCCCAAGAAATCAGCGACTTTTCATGGATTACAGGATTTGAGGAAGTGCAGTGAGTTTTCATAATTCTTGAAATTTCTACAGCAAAGTTCAGAGATGCAGTATTAAAAAAAGGAAATCCTCACTATAAATCAAAACCCTGCAAAAAAAGAGACCAAAAATTGCACATGTTTATGTTTATCCTTATCCTTATCAAACCACGAAATTCATGTTTTATCTGATTCGGAGAAAATATAAAATAGATTTTCCAACAAATTATTATCAACTTTATAACTCACACCTCTGGAATCCCAAATTTGAACTGAAATACCATAAAATCTGTAATGTCAAGTTTAAGCTAATTTATCTCAGTCCCTATAAAAGATATCAAAAATGTGTCAACTGATAAAATTTTTATGATATTAAGATGAACATTTTATCAGTTGACAACTTTTTTATACATTTGACAGGAACCGAGATAAATTGGATTAAAATTAGAAGTCACGATATCTCATTGTTAAAGCGATTTTTCAGCGATGCATTTATCTTTTTGTCTTTTTTCCCGATTTTCTTGTCTGAAATTAGACGGTGCCGTGTTTGCAAAGATTACGGTAGACTACTGAAGGAAATGTTTTCGGGAAATCGTGATTTTCGCAAACACCATCACGTCAAATTGCAGACAAAAAAATGAAGCTCAAATACAAAAACAGGTCAACTTTGAGCTCAATTATCTCGATTCCTGTGAAAGATATAAAAAAGTTGTCACCTAATGAATTGTTTATCATAAAATTAACAATATTTTATCAGTTGACAAAATTTGATATCTTTTACACGAATCAAAATAATTAAGCTCAAAGTTCTTGAAAAAAAAATCTGCAAGTCAAAACATTTTGATTTAGAGAACCTTTGAAGTGTCCACCTCAAGTTTAAATCTTCAGAATTTGTTATTTTCCAAACTTTTCTCATAATTTTGGTACAAAAACGAAGTCTCTAGCTCAATTTTAAAGCTAGTTACAGCCCTATCTGTTCTGAGGACGCAGCCAGGTGGAGGTGGTTGTCGAGAAGCGCGACAGGCGCCGCTCCCTTCCCGTTGCACTGCCACCTCCATCTGACCGCGCCCTTTGAACATATAGGGCTGTAACTCGCTTCAAAATTTAGCTAGAGACTTGGTTTTTGTACCAAAATGTTTAGAAAATTTTCAGAAATATGGTGGATAGTTTTGGTGGGCTTATTTTATAGGAAATACGGCAGGTCGTGAATTTTAACTTGGAGACGTGCCCGAATAGCTTCCTAGTAAGCAGAAATAAATTGTCAGTTAACATTCTTAAAATTTCTTAACGTATAAGAGTTTTTAACTTTTTTATTTTCACCTATTTAATTTCCAATTTTTGGATTCCCTCTCACACGAAACATTTTTCTAGAATGACCCAAATTCCAAAATGACCTCTAACCTCAAAAAATGTCCCCCCATACTTTCTGCAAAAACTATTGTTCAGTAGTAAAAAAGGAAGGTATGCACCCAACAGGAAGACAAAAAATGAGTTCAAAAACAAAAGGGTTCTCTTCGTTTTTTTTTTCGAAATTCCCGGTTTCTCTATTTTCCCCCTTTCTCCTCCATTTTGTTGTTTACCGAGTCTGAAGAGATGAAGAACGTCTCTTTTCTCCTCCCGTATCTAAATACTTAGTAGTAAAAATGGAAGAGGAGGTCAGCGAAAAAAGAGCAGCACTGATAGGAGAACGTTGGGAGAAATAGTATTGGATACTGTAGAGACGCAGACACGATGAGCACACACTCTCCACAAAAAACAAGTTTGTTCGTTTTCCATCTTCCGGACAGTGGTGGGACAACAAGAACCCTGGGAGGGCTCAACTCCTCTCTCTCTCTCTCTCTCTGTCTATTTTCGAGAAGAACAAGTCAGATGACCCTCCAGTAGGTACTAAGAACTTCTTCTCCTGAAATATTTTTCATTTTTGTGGTCTGGTCAACAATCTTTTTGGGTTTTGGAGGGAAGTGTACAATTTTGGTCCAAAATTTTTTTGAGTTTTTGGATGACCCAGGAGATCCTAAGTTTTTGATTTTCTGTTCAATAAAAAATTCAGATTCATTTTTCAAAAACTCTCAATATTTAGAATCCCATCGCACCCTTTCTCATTTGATAAGATTATCCAAACCTTCACCCTCGAATTCGATTACCGTCGTTTCAACTCAATTATCTTGGTTCATGTAAGAGATCACAAAAATTTGTCAACTGATAAAATTTTGCTGTCATCATGATAAATATTTTATCCGTTGACAACTTTTAGGTATCTTTTACAGTAACCGAAATACCGTAAAACCTCTAATAGAACGACTCCTTGTGCTGCTCCAACCAACTCAATTTCTTCTTTTTCTTGCTCTCAACGGCTGTATTTTCTTCTTCTTCTTTTTCAATCCATCAATTTTCTTCATCTCCTCCCTTTTCTCTCTCCGCTGGTGTCCGGTCCCATCCCCCTGTTAAACAACCCATTGACCTGATTTATGGAGCAAAATTCCCAGGACTCAGGATTCATGGATATATCACTCCATCCACTTTTTTGCTGGAGAGGTGCACTTTTTTTGTTTTAGGCTTACCGCCTGACATCTCTCTCATTTTAAACTTAAGTTTTTATGATCTTTGAAGGCTGGTCCGCTTTTTTCAATCGTATCTTCGTTTATATTCATTCATC